ATGTATATTCTATTTCATATATATAAATATATATACATATTTATATATACATATATATATACATATATATATATATGATTTCTATAGATTTATATATATATATATGTATATATATGTATATATATGTATGTATGTATATGTGTATTTATTTAATTATATATATATATATATATATATATATTATGTATATGTTTGTATATATATCTGTATATTTATATGTATATAAATATATGTATTTATATATTGTGAGTATATACGTGCACATACACCTAACATCCATAGATTTCGGATCACAGTTTACTTTTGGCATGGTTTATTTTTGGAAGTATTCTATCAACAAACAACCTTCACAGTTAATTCCATATATATGTGTATTTTTTTTCTGATCGTCATTTTGTTTTTGTTGATCACACAGTTTGTATCAAATATTCGTATCTTCAAGAAGTTAGTAAATTGTAGGAAATCCTGTTTCGTCTTGCTTAAACCTTTCACAAATACTCGATTTTCAATATTGCCTTCTCGTGCATAGCATAGTTGAGCTATATATCGAACAATTATATGTCGTAAGTGCCGACGATTTTAGTCTATTAGTGCTCGCGGAACATTGAAGTGCGGCAAATCTCAGTAGTAAGTGTGTAGATAATTCAATATTGTGAGTGAAAAGGTCCAAGAAACTGTGTGGAGCTGACACATCACTCTTTAATGCGTTTTATAGGATTAAAAAACGTTCATGATACGAGTTCTCGCGACAAATTGGCATGTTTCCACTGGCATGGAGTAAGGCCGCACACTGTAACGAGCAGATCTGTGACCTGCAACAGTAGGTTTGTTGTGTAAGAGTAGAATCACAATGTCGAAGAGTAGATCTGTGCTGTTTCTCTTCGCGTCGCACCCTCAGTTGAGCTCATCGGCCGCGAGTGTGCGATCAATCGGCCTACTGCGCGCTTTTGAGAAGTATGGGTACACCGCACACTCTGCAACGATTGGCAAGGTGTACGCGAACACTAATACCGGTACCAATACCGAAAACAGAGCTCTTAACAACAATGCTAGTACAGTCTCCAAACCGGAAGAATCACGAAACGTGGAAAACGATAGATTGCCAAATGTTAGACAGGTATTTGTACTCACTTGTGTTGCTTTCTAGCCACTCTTTCGAGTACATTGACAACTATGTGCATCCAAGCGAGTTATTTTATGCGAAGGTGAACTTAGCGTTGTGATCACGCGCATTCAGTCACACTCACTGTGTATGGCACAACATTGCAGATTATACCCAACGATACCGCAGAGATGAGTCGGCTGTTGGCGGATACCTGCCCACATGTGGTCGTGTTCGACCGCATGTGGGTGGAGGAAATGTTCAGCCACTATATTTATCAACAAACGCCCGATGCCATGAGAATACTGGACACCCAGGATTTACATTCTCTGAGAGACGGTATGTGTAGCTATCGTATATTGGCGCGGTCTGTACAGAGATTAAAAGTTTTCTTCGTGTGTAGTAGCGGGTTTGATAGGTGTGAAATGCGAAGAGAAACTGAACGTGTATAGGTTGCTCTCTATGTACTATTGTGGTCGCACGCAGATACTACTAGATATCAAACATCGTTAAACATGAAGATGTGACCCGGAAATGTGCAATCACTTGGCTCGAGGCAAACACGGCATATGCATACCATGAGGCATTAGGGTTTTGGGTTTATCATGTGCCAAAGCTTTATCATTTGCCTTCATACATATGTTTGTAGGTTGTGGGATAGCGCGCTCCTTGATAGGAGATGATTCTTGTACATTCTAGAATATACTTTTATCAGTTCTTATTATTGTAGGGCACATACGTGGTGGGAAATTGGCCTGCTTTGTAGTGTGCTTGATGCTTACAATTCATTCCTTCTTCCCCCTTCCCTAGGACGGATGAAAATCATCCGAAGTGGTGGTACTATCGAAGAGAGTGTCGCGCATATTCCCTATCCCAGTAGGTATCCCATGCCTCATATGCCATTTGAGGAAATAATCCTATTTCTGTGTGTTTGCTTATTTGAAACTTGAATGTGATTCTGTACAGCAAAGATTTTCAGAAGATCATGTGCACCGTTTCCCCTCAAAATATCCGTTGTAGGTGTATCGCTATCATAAATCAAGCCTATTTATTCACGCTTCGCCTATTTGCGCACATCAATTACTGGTTGCTGGCATATCTGTATGTTTTCTTTTTGCGTTGATGCAAGTGTATATTGTCTTTTGGTTGATTTTTTTACTCATCTTCCAATTATAGTTTGTATAGTGGTGACCTGTATAGAAAGTCCCAATGTATTAGCAGCAAATTAATGTGCAAACCAATCGCCAGTGTTCACATCACACAACTGGACACGTCTATCACATTGTTCATTGGGTTTAAGTGCGCTTGCGCGATATGACGAGGTTTCGAGGTGGCCGTAGTTGCCCTTGCAGCAATTCGAAGCGTGTGCAGTAGGTACACACGACTATTGTGCATGGTATAGAGCTCTACTATATCTATGTCCCACAGAAGCACACAACATATATATACACTCCCTTGGTAGTAGATCACCGTAAATAAGTGCGCATCGACTACCTCACTAATCAAGGGAGTTAGTTCTGGTTTAGGTTTCATACCAGATACGCTCGGTGCTCTATCCAAAATCCGTGCGCCCTATGCGTGGCGAATATACCTATCATTTGAGTATACTTACGTGCGGGACTACACTTCTGCTCAAGATCGTAGACTGATCACGCTCAAATATTGATTTACTGGTTTGCTCGAGCTCTTATGTACAATGGTAACACTCCACCTTTGAACTCTGCTCAACAGTTGGCCCGAACCTTGGCCCTTATATTGTATCTGACCTGTTTCTCCGATATATTCTGTTTTCTATCCCAGACTACCTACGACCGGTTCTTTAATCCGTGGTGCGTATACCTACTCCGCCTATGTTTAACTCTCCAAATTTTCACACCTCCCAACCATCCACAGTAGTCCCATGGCGTCCCGTGAGTTAGCGGCAATCCATCGGAGTGATCTTACACTGGTATGCTCCACACACGAGGCTCAACTGCTCAAGAAAGAGTACGGCATTCTACCGCACAAAGTGGCTGTCGCCCCTTTTATCAGTGCGCCGGAATTCAGCAGCAGGAGTACAGGTATGTCACGGCTATGTAAGCGTACATAGCGTGCGTGTATGTGTATGCATATATGGTGGGAGTATCTGATTATGCACACCGCTTGCGTGCGATCGTGTAGAGATAACTTGATTATGGGCGGTTGGCTTTCCTGTCAACAGCTTACATGAAATAATTGCATATTTTGGCTTCCACCCCGCGCGGCATGCTTGAATACACAAAACATCGTGAACTTGTCCGGAGTTGCAAATGCATACAGACCTGTGCTAAAAATGTGTCTACGTGGAATTGTACTTGTATACATGTATACATATAGGCGTATGTGTCTCAGCGCTTATTTGGCAAGTCTTTGGACCTTTGGATAATGCTCTAGGTTTATCCGAACCACCAATACACGTACCCCTATACTCGTTACATTTCGAGCATATTGGATATCAAACTTCCTAAGAATCCGCTTTTGCAACCGTTGACTCGAATTTCTTCTCAGAACCACTGGTAACGGTCGCGCACGTCTTGCCATGTATTGCAGATGACCTGTCGCAGGACTCAGATTGCTCACTCCCTGCCACACAACTGCCCACGAATATTTTCCTACGTCCGATAAATGAGTCTCAGCAGATAGTGAATGAGGCGCAACAAACGACACATCGGTCGCAACAGGCAATGAATGGGCAACAACAGCCGATATGCGGGTCACAAAACCCGACAAGGGAGTCCCGGCCCCGTCGGCACTTCATGACCATCGGACGATACGACCATCCTCCCAATGCCGATTCGCTGAGCTGGCTGTGTGGTTCCATCTGGCCCCTTATTCGCCAGCAACTGCCAGACGCCCAGCTGCACGTCTACGGCTCGCACTTCCCTCCGAATGCGGCACACTCACTCACGTACATGTGTGAGTCGGAGACACGTCTCCAGGCGCAACCATGTACATCGGGAGGTAAAGGTGCTTCTCAAAGCTCGCGTATGGTCAAGGTCCACAATATTGCCAAAGGTGTTCACGTAAAAGGATACATGGAATCGCTCGAGGAGCTATCACAGTAAGTTCCAGAAAACATGATTGTGTTGACCCTCTGCGGTCATTTCTTTATGCGTTTTACCTAGAATTGATTGAGTATATAAGCCTTGCAACACTCTATTAAGTGCTCCACTAAGTTAGACGATCTATCATCAATGTCAGTATATTCCACTGAGCTTGATATGTTACGCGTTTGCGTGTGAGCCTAAGTGGTACTTCTCAATATGCCGACGTGAGGATTGTCCCGCACTCATATTTGAATTCAACGTGGATACCGTGCACTCAGCAGGGGGCAGCACCGCCACCTAAATTGCACGAATCACAATTAGCAGAACTATGTGCTTCCAGAGATGTACAGACCACACACACGGGTCCATAGACACGCACATAGGCAATATGCATACAAGAGTCATACACGCCAAATATATCATTCGCAGATATATAGGTCTCCGTGTGCTCCACAACATGAGGTTTCCGCCATAGCATATGTACCTCTACGTCCCTCGTATGACTGTTTCCGATTTTTCTACAGGTACAAAGTGATGCTCGCTCCCCTGCGATATGGTGCTGGCATCAAAGGCAAAATTGCAGATGGTTGGAAATGGGGGCTGCCAGTGGTGACCACTCCTATTGGTTGCGAGGGAATGGGAGCTACGCATCTTCATGAACACGAGACTACAAACATCTGCAAATCCACTCGCGCACCGGATCAATATATGGCGCCCTATCCCAAACATGTGTGCGGACGTGTGCCAACGGAAGTGCACGTGCATGACCATTTGGCCATTCAGACAGAAAACAAGCAGCCCAGGGTATCAGCACCAGCTGATAATATAGCATCTGACGTATCGGAAGAAGCATATACGGATGGCCATTCTGCCCAGCTGGCAGCACAGGACCTGAGTCGTGGTTCGGATAACCCAATCTTAAGTGAATGTAGAGCCCCAAGCACGCCCGTAGTACCGGTATTGAAGGTACTGACTAGTCGCGACGAATCCGAGGTTTCTGTCAGCTTCGATGATACAACCAGAATCAAAAATGAAACCGTGACATTGGATGTAGATGCACAAATGTGCGAAAGGAGATTCAAAGGCACGGTACGGGAAAAATGGCCAGGGATATGTTCCCCCACATCGGCGAAAGACTTTGCAGATCGAGCGGTTAAACTTTATACAGATGGTAGCATGTGGAGGGACATACAACAACGTGGTAGGAGCAAACACAGCGAGCTGTTTGTGTGGGAAGCGAACGCCAAGGATTTATTAGAACTGGTGGTGCCAGGTTTGTGCGAGCGTTTACATTCGAATAGAGAGAAGGATGTAGTGCAGGGGATGATATGGCATCATTCGCTGGCCACTACACGCCATCTGGCACGGTATATTGAGCTTAAGAACAACGATGGTAGTACATATAAATAGGTTCGTGCTCAAATCTGGTTTACGCAGGGTTATGCTTGCTGCACACTTGCCACGTATTCTCGCTGAGGATTGAGAACAACTCATTGTCTGGAGAGTTAACACATCTTGGTGCAACACATATTAGGTGCGTAGTGGCGTATTCAACAGCCTGACATATATTGCCGCGTAATATGCTACTTATTGTTTTGCGTATATCCAGATTCTCTATCTATGTACATGTTCGCAGAGGCTATTCCGGAAAATTGAGATGCGCCTTTAATAAAGTGTATCGTGAAACATTCATTCGGTTCCTCTTTTTTGACTATTTTATTGAAAGAAAACGAGAAGGTATAATACAGGAACAACGCGAACTTGTAACTGGGGACTATGCTTACTGAATGCCCCTTACCATGCAGCGCTGTTCACAATCGTCACATATCATGCTGTAAATTCAAGGTAACAAACACGACTATATTAACATATTTTGCGTTCTCCTTTGTGATGAGATGAAAGGTGCATGTCGGAGATGTGCAATTCTCACTGCATGCCCGATGCCAAAACGAGAGAATTTTTATAGGCAGATAGGTTATTAATGAATCAAAATTAACCGTTCGAGATTTATTGCTTCGAGAAAAATGTACGTTTTGTATACTGCGTATATTTTAAAAAATCTTGTGAATGTCATGCCGATCAACTACCACCTACTCCCAAAATAGCTTTCGATCATGTAAGATAGGCAGCAGCAGCTGCCTTCATAAAAGATATCAACTGTCAGTCTCTGGTTCCCAACTCCCGCTCATTGGTGCTCATGCTTGAGATTCGAGGCGATTGCGGGCAATTAACTTAAAAACAAACTTTTATAATGTCTCAATTCCCAACACTCGCACCCTCCCATATCCTGTAGCACTCGTTGTGTGATGACATGGGCTCGGAGTGCATCAAACGCATAATATTTCGACTGTAGTAGACTATATATTGATCTTTTATATTTCGTAATATACAGCGTATGGCTTATGGTCGCCTTGTTGATTTGCAGAAAGCTTATCGTTCCTGAAATCATGGCTTTTTGTACTCAAGTCGCCGCCGCGTTTGTACGTCCCCAGACAGCTGTATGATCGGCTTGTATTGCGATAAAAAGAGTATGACATCCACATTGCAGATTCTTCAATTAAGAATGCGATTCTGGAGTGTGATCCGGATCAACCGATACTTGCAGCTCGATCGGTCATTCCAACAACTTGGAAGCTTGTATACTCCTCATAGTAATTCATGCCTAGAATTTACATATAAGCTCTTTAGCATACAACTGTACGCGTTTAAGACTGCTTCTCTTTCTAGCTTCACTCTTCCGAGGCTGGCATTGACTTGGTGAATCTATAACGGCGACCTTACCTTCGATGCTTTTGTGGTCTAGCGAGTACACACTGGCGAGTACCGACTGTGATCTTACCGCTGGGGTATATGTATAACAGTATTGAACCCATTTGCATACGGCACTCTCGGTGCTGGAATCCTCGATGGTTGCAGAACCTTTTATAGGTTGGTAGTGGAATACACTACTGCTGTGAGAATAAGAATGTGTATATTCTGTGGGACTACTCAAGCGCCTGGCTATATCATTATGCTGCGATTGCTCAGCTCTATCTACGTGATGCGTGCGACGATCGCGGGCAGTCTAGGAACGTAGGCTCGGATTTTTGATAGAATGCATTGTGGTGATTTGCATAGCCACATGAACTTGCATTTCAATTTATTATGCTGTGAAGTAAATCTTGTATATATAAATATGTATATATATATATATATATATATATGTATATATATATATATATATATATATATATATATATATATATATA